ATGTCTTTCAACCATTCCATTAGATTGTGGGTAATTTGGACTTCAAGTTCTGGTTTCAAAATTCCATCTTCTTGCAAAGTCTTTAAATTTCCTGCAATTGTATTGTGGACCATTATCCGAATATACTATTTTCGGAATACCATGTTTTGCAAAAATTGATTTCAATTGCTTTATCACTGCTACACTTTACAAATCTTCTAAATGTCCAATTTCAACATATTTGCTAAAAATAATCTATAACTATTAGATAATCACTTCCTTGAAAGTAAAAGAGATCTGTTCCCAATACTTCCCATGAATTATTAGGTATTTCTTCAGATATCCTTGGTTCTTTGGTAATAGCTTTTTGTAAACTTAAACATTTTTGACAGTTCAGTACTCAATCTTCAGTTTCTTTCGACATTCCTGGCCAATATAATGTTTCTCTTGCATTTTACTGCTCCTTAATGACCATAATGAATTCTGCTTAAGTATTGCAATCGCGAGAAATTTCGGGTATCAAATTTCAACGAAAATATCCATTTCAAACGTTCTCGAAATCATTTGAAAGATGTTTTTGCGTGACATCTATACGGATGGACAGAATAAAGGACTTTTTTTGCCAAAAGGATTGTAAATTGGATTTAAAATGGATTCAGAAGAGATTTTTTTTTTCTTGCCGTCTATACCTACGTATGTATGTATCTCGCATAATTCAAGAATGAGTAGCCGTAGAACTTTGAAATTTTGTATATGGGACTGCTATAACATGTAGTTGTGTAGTTGTGCCAGTCCCTTTTTCATTGCAATCAGCTGCACAAATTGTACATGAATACATACATATTCCCATTTTGTTATCTGGCTGAATTTAGTTTTTTTATTCTTATATGTTGGTAAATTGCGGAATTTTAATTTTTTATGTTAAAAGTTAGTAAATTTTGTAGTTTTTATGTTCCGGTTAAATGTTTTATGCCTTTATCTGCATGCAATAGTTGTAGAATTATCAATGATTTAAAAGTTAAGTGACGAGTTAAGCATTTGTTTACATTTGAAACACAGTAGATAGAGAATTCAGTTTCTGCACCTTAAATGTTTTTTTGCCGAATGGAATCAAAAGTAAGCTTTCAGTTTTGTGCATTGAAAATCTGCCTTCTTGCGCGCTGGTCGAATTGTTTGTTTTTGCGTAAAAACACTCATTTTAAACGTAGAAATTATTTTTTTAACTGTTTTAGCTGCATTTGGTGGTTTATGTTTTTGTCTATTTTACAATTTTACTATGCTTTGAGGTTTTATGTTTTTTTGCTGAGGCACGAATAGAGAACTGAATTGATTGAATGAGAAATACAGTACAAAGTCCGAGATCCGGACGTCCAATAACCGGAATGATTTAAAATCCGGACCTCGAAACCGGCCAACGACTTTTTTTTTAAATGCTTTACGCATGCACAATTCATATTTTCCCCCAACGATTTCGTCGCCAATCATATGATGCATGAGCCAATAATGTATAGCGAACTCTATTAAGCTAGGCTAAAATTATACTTTACTGATTCCAAGGAAATTTCGGCCAATATAGCAGACTGCGCTTGTTGATGTCCATTAAACAAAAAGTGGAATTGCTGCAGAAAATATATAAAGGTATATCCATGTCAAAATTATGAGAGAAGAATGGCATTGGAAAGTAACTGTATACGACGTAAGATAACAGAGAAAGGAACTTTTTGAATTTTTTATGGATTCCGACGCCCCGCTCACAACGAATAACAGAAAAATTATTCGTTATGCGAATTGTAAAGTGAAGATCAGGACAAAGTGACAATTGAGTGGGTCTGACAGCACACCGCATCGAGGGCGTGCCAAATCGCCGTGATATAAGGCAATTAAAAATTTCAGGTGGAAAAGCTTCAGCTGATAATGAAGCTGCTGAACTATTTGTAGATGAATCCATTGAACTCATTAATAGTTAAAAGTTATCTCCAGAACAAATTTACAACGCTGATGAAACTTGTCTTTTCTCGCGATATGTACCTCAAAATACCTTAGCAACCTCTATAGAAAAGGCTCCAACTCGTGTCAAAGATACCAAAGTTGAGACTAAGAATTTTAGCATTCATAAATGCGGCAGGAACGCACAAGCCTAATCTTTTTGTAATCGGGAAAAATACACTACCTCGAGCATTTAAAACGTTTCCTGTTATGTATCTTGTAAATAAAAGAACATGGATGACACAAGTGCTAATGAATCATTGGTTTGAAATTCATTTCATACTCGAGGCTCGGCAGAATTCGTTTGGTTTACCTGACCACACAAAATTTGTTCTGATTGTAGAAAACTATTCGGCTCATACTTTACTTAAAGTTTGAGCGAAAGATAATGTATCCGTACTATTTTTTTCTCCAAATTGTACGTCAATCATTCAGTCTACGGATATCGGAATAGTGCGCGAGCTGAAATGCAAATGTGAAATTTCTTGAATAATTTGAAGACTCTTCAAAAAATTTTGAAATATTTTAGCGTAAAATCTGCTTTGTTGAGCAAGATAGTGGGATGATGTGTCTCCAGATACTTTAAAAAATGCTTAGCATAATTTATGGCAGCTAGCATATTTCATGGTGAGGTTGTTGAATATGACAGCCGTTAATGTGATGGTTTTCGGATATTGCAAATCAAAGGGTAAATTTTTAAATTAGTGGATTTTTTAAAGAAATGTGGAGAAGCAATAATAAATGAAAATGATATAACAGAAGTTTTTCATTGCAATGAAAATGCCCCAATTATCAATCAATTAACGGACGGCGAAATCTGTAATACGGTTCTAGATCCAGAAAATATCGCTGCCGATAGTGAGGAAAGTGACAGAGAGGTTATTGAAAACGAAAAACTTTCGATTGACAAGTTAGTCAGAATTCTAGACACAGCAATTACAGGACTTAAACAATGGAACTTTGTAATTAAATAAGAAATTAGCTCTATGTATAGAATTAAGGAGAAAATATTAGCACAAAAAAGCAACTTAACTAACATTGAAAGAAATGTTGGTACTTTTCCGTTTTGCCGGCGCAAGCGATAAAGTCGCCAATAATGGTACAACCGATGCCAAACAGAATATTCTCGCTGGTAACCTTTTACGCCTCATTTTCAAAACAAGTCGCAGCTTTTTCTTATCAGATTGATTGTTTCTTTCAATACTGGCATATAATTACATAGAATTTTTATCAGATAGTTCAGTTTTATGTCTAAAGCCATTTTCGGTAATTAGGTCAATTAGGATGCAATCACAGCGCTTACCCGAAGCCGAAAATATAGAAAGAAAAGTCAAGGGTTAAATTCATCAATTCTAATGAGAATGCATTAGTGAAGTAAAGCACTGCAGTTTTTACATAATTTCTGAGTAAGCTATTCGTACGCATTGAAATATTTCTTGCATTTAAACTTGTGTTCCAAATTAAGATTTAACTTGAAATTAATGTAGATAATTACGGAGAGCATTAGATTTTTGTAGAGTAGTTTACGTGAGATGAGATCGCTTGGAGTCAAGTGATATGAACCGGCGAATTAGGATGTTGAACGATGAAAGCATAGTAAATTCTCAAATTAATGTCTTTTTACAAATTTATTTTCTTTATTTATTGGCTTTTTATAAAGTTTTAAGCGATATTAAAATGTTTATGCCTTCAAAAAAAAATTCTTAGAACTAAAATTTTTTATGTGTATACTGTATGTTGTCGCCAATAAAGTCTGCTTGGCGAGATTTGCGCCAGCGAAACGGAAAAGTACCGAAATGTTTAATAAAGTAAACAAATGAATATTAAGCTTTTTTTTTTTTTTTTTTTTTTTTTTTTGTAAATTTTGTTACCCTTTACATGATATATGTTTCATTATTTCATAAATCAGGATTTTATACTTTTAATTTTATAATTTCTACATGCTATCTTACAAGCTTTAAACTGATGATCCCAAATCCGGAATCGCCGAAGTCCCGACGAGTCCGGACTGTATATCTCTAATGAAATTCGAGGAAATAAGTTTAAATGAAATGCAGCAAAAAATGCGTATAATTTAATAGGACATCTAAGTTCTATGGTGTCCACATCAGAATTTTTATTTTTATAACAATAAAAAAACCCTTTATTTAAGATAATGTAATAATCTGTAGTACTTAATCTAAAATCTATAGTACTTTGCGGGCTTTTAATGAACATTATTAAAATACTTGAAGCCAGTAAAATATATTCAAATATTAATTTGTTGTTTGAAAATATAGAGCTGTAACCAAATTTAAAGTTTTATGATCACAATGCAATTACACCCCCATTTTTCTATAAATATTCCATACAACGAACTAGGTTGCTTTCAAAAGATTTTTTAGTATAAGAATTAATGGAAATTTAAATTAATTTCTTGTAATGTATCGAAAGAAAATCAGTTTGCAACGTGTCACATAAGTAATTTCTTGAGATGAAGATGCTCATTTTTGCAAAGCTGGACAGTAAAATTCCAAATATCTGGACTAATTGACACCATAAACCATTTGGATAGTTAGAAAATCCCGATAACTGGAACACACTTTTTTTCTGTAGGCGTAAATGTGAGGAAAAGAATTCAAAGTATCGCGAGTTCATCAAAAGCATTTGCAAACATTATTTTTGGTTGCTTTTTAACCCTGGTAATAATATGTTTCCTCTTATTCATTAATTATTTAGTGAGTATTAAACATGTTTTCAGAAAGAATTTGTCAATAATTAAAATTTTTAAATCTACTTTACTTTGAAAGTAATACTTAATTTTAGGTAGTTTTGAAATCAATCAGTATACCAAGGTATTACGAAATTTGCTCATGTATATGAAACTAATTTGAATTAAAATACTTATTTCTAAACATGACTAATAAATGCGCATAAAAATGAAGCACAGTCATGAGTAATTCAGCATTTAAAAGCAGTTTTTATTTAGTGAACTTTAATTATTGTTGACTTAATACAATTCAATTCCAATTAAAGACGAAAATCTTTTTTTTTTCTTTTTTCCCCTTCTTTTTTTCTTTTCTTTTCCTCATGGGAATTCAAAATGACTCAGGAGCAAAGAAGCAAGTTTAGAGAGCAAGACCTGAAAAGGAGAAAGCCTAGAGAAAAAGAAAGAAAATAGTATTGATTTTGCAGTTTTTAACATATCTTTATTAAATACCAAATACAAAGTTTTATGCATTTAATGACTATACTCTAATTTAAAGTAAATTTAAATAAAAAGATCTTAAAATAAATAAAATAAATTCTTTTTATAAAGATTTATTTAAAAATTAGTATTTAGTAAGGATTTCAAATTTCTGAAAGAAATATAAAATAAAAATTGAAATACTGAAAGTGAGGTAAAAATTCTTGTATCGTTTTGCTTTATAGCATCCGTCGTGTCTAGATTTAGAAACACATAGTGTTTAAAAGGTTCTTCACATTTCATCTCTTTTTCTTGTTCAAGTTTTAACGGTTTTTCATTTTATCACTTTTTCAGTTTTAACATTAATTTTTCTCAGCAATATTTATAGTGTAACTTATAAAACACGCATGAAAGGAGAAGCAGTTGCAAAAGCTTGTTATGCCTTATAATCAATTAATTAAATTCTGTGTGAGCGCCACTGGTTGCCCTAATCACATCATACTAATTTTCAGCCTCCCATCGTACATTTTTAAACAAGCCACATCCAGCCTCGGTATGCTTCTATGATATGTAGCAGTCTAGTCCACTGATGGGAACGCAGAGGGACGCACACTTTGTCTTTTAGGAAAACAAAGAAATAATATAGGCATCACGTCAAGGGTGTGTGTGTGTGTGTGTGTGTGTGTGTATTTAATTATGGCAAAGCACACTAGGGCTATCTGCCTAAGGGGAGGGATGCCTTCGTGGAGGACTTTCTAAGGGAAACTGGCTCGTATACACGTTACACATGGGGAAAACCACGAAAACACCCATGCAGTCAGCCCGTTCGCGGGATTCGAACCTCGGACCGAACTACCAGTGTTCAGCGACTTTACCGCTCGGCCGCTGGTGGGCCTCACATCAAGGGATAATAGGGGATTTATTACTTCAAAGTATTCTTATCAATGTATTGTGGAAGATTGTGTTAATCAAAGTAATTTTCTTGATAAGCATGGAAGCTTATAACCTTAGTAAAAGATTACATCTGGAATTTCAGGCCTCCCTTCGTGGCATTATCCATTCAGAAAGCATACTTAACTAAACGATTCGTGTGACAGCGAATTTCAAAGAGAAAAGTTATCCTTACAATACACTCTTGCCCTTACATTCAAAAGCCTTAGCCATGAAACATTCATGTTTCCTTTTTTTTTTTTTTTTTTTTTTTTTTTGCGGTCAGCTGCTTGATGAATGTTTTAAGTGCCCTGAATCGTCTCATTACGTCAAAGTGCAATGTGACTTCACCTCTTAAATCTTTAGAAAAAGGAATCACAAGTCTTACCATTGTCCATAGATTCTATTTCCAAAAGCTCTAATAGAAGTCGAAGACGTTTCTGCGGAGTTTCATGGGCAATCACTCTTTTAATGCTGAGTTCTCGAAAGGCACGCTGTATGCAGTTTTGCGGGTTACACACAAGTGTTTCCTGAATTGCTTCAATGCATTTTTACTTGCAAATTATTTACAAGTTCTTTTCTATTTAAACACAACTACTGGTAGCCCAAATTTCTTTGTACTTTAATAAAGATTTAGTTTCGTTAAATTTTAGGAAACGACGCGCATTTTCCAGTCCGGTCTCCATTTAATTGTATTGTCGATTGCAGCACTATCTTGCAATGAAGGCTTAAATTTCAATAGCAGTATACGAAGAGTATATGCCTAAGCGATAACTTTAAACGTCTGCAAATAATAAAATGTTGAAAGTTAAAACAAAATTTATAGACAAACTGTATTTCATTTCTTCTATAAATAGAAAATGTACAATCACAAAAAGTATAAATTATACTGTAAAATACACCCGTGCTATAGTGATCAAGAAAATCTGATAATAAATCCCTTTGGAGAAAGACAATTCAGATAGTAACAAATAAAATAATAGTAGCAAATAAAATAATAGACAATAAAATATAGTTTAGTTTAGTGACGGAGGACGTGGGCACCACCCCTTTACCGTTATGGTTAATTGGTAATAGCACCACGTCCACCCTTATCTAGAGACTAGTGGGACTACAGGTCATACTTTACAGTACTTACGATATCGTACAATATAAATAAACCATACAATTTCCTACATATGCATGATACAGTATATAATCAAACAGGATTATTAAAGCATAATGCTGGTGCGTATACAGTTAAAATGCAAAAGTTAAGATGTAAAATACTAAGTATCGATTTAAGTTATATGACTAAATAATATTATATTATTTATGCATAAAACCTTAAAAAAATAAAATAAAAAAATAAAGAAAGAAATTAAAAAAAGAAAAAAAAAATACAATATCCTACATATGCATGATACAGTATATAATCAACAGGATTATTAAAACATAATGCTGGTGCGTATACAGTTAAAATGCAAAATACTAAGTATCAATTAATTATATGATTAAATATTATTATATTATTCATACATAAAAAAACCTTCAAAAAAAATAATAAATAACATAAATAAATAAATAAAAAAAATAAGTAAATAATAATGCGCTGTATATATATATATATATATATACATAGAATATGCCATACAAAATAATACACATACACATTAGGAGCAGAATGTGGAATATAGGATCATACAAATACAGGATCAAGTCGTGAGGATCATTGAAAAGTACATACTTAATGTGCTTCACAAATTCAGCCATAAGTATCATTCATACAAACGTAAGCATTCTGGAACAACAAAAACCAATAATGGTGTACCCTCATATTTGGTACAGTAACTGGTACACTGGTACAGTAATTTCTTATGAAATATTTTACTTTTACATTTCAGAGACACAAAATTTGATAGAATTTGTACTGAGTGACTATTTGAAAGGGTACGTTAAGACTGTGGTAACTAATTAGCAAAGTAAACATATTGTTTTTCATAGGGGTGGTGCATAAGAGATACAGTACAATGATCATTTCATTAGATCAGTCCGTTATAAGAATATCACTAAAATCTATAAATGTAGCATTAAACCAGAGTTTACCCACGAAGATTATGTACTTTGCATCAATACATTATGCCTATGAATGCTACAACCTGGCACAGGTCTATTCCAAGACCTTTAACCTTTTCCATAACCTTGTTAATTTTATTAATCAAGTGCCTCTGCTTGATTAGAAATTTGCAAAAGGCTTGACGATTTTGCGAAGGGAAATCTGATATGTAAGCCTTCTGTAAGAGGGCATTTTTCAAGGTAATGCTCCGGAGAGCCTAACTCTCCGCACAGTGCAAAAACTTGGAATCGCTTATTTTAAAAATCTCTCAAAATAAAGAGGAAAAGGGCCATGCCCTGAAATATAACGTGTCAGATGGGGATTTCCACAGCATCTATCTTGTGTAAACGTAAGAAATATGGTAATAAGTACGACGACCAGTGGTACTATAATCCCATTCTTCTTGCCACTTACTGATTGCTTTGAGACGTAGTGCAGATTTCAAATGTGAATGCGGCCAAGGTATGTGAATTTGTTCAGCAGCAATTCCAAAAGCGGCCTCCTTGGCGAGAGTATCTGCAACTTCGTTTCCATATTCACCCATATGTGCCTTTATCCAAGCTAAGTGGATGTCATGGCGTTGATATTTTCTAAGATCTTATTGAATATCTCTGATGATTTTGGATGGGTGTTCTGGATTACTAATCGCATAAATAGCTGAAAGGCTATTAGATTTTATAGTAGCCTTTAGGATTTGGTGGGTTAGCAAGTAGCGAATAGCTTGCGCTATTGCTACTGCTTCCCCTTGAAAAACACTGTTATTGTTAGCCAAATGGCCCTTCCATTGTGCAATGACACTATTTTCTTGTATAGACAGCAAATGCGTTCCCACATTTCCTTCCAATTTTAGATCCATCCGTATAAATTACTATACTCGAGGGGCTACGGTATTCTGTAGGCCAAACATGTAGTCTAATGCCAACACCATAATCCGCAGGGTGAATGCTGTCAGATGTTAGTTTGGTTTCATATTCCTCTGAAGTAAAATTTTCTTCAGCAAATGCTATTGGCTTGTGTAGCTAGCTGTATTAACATTTGTCGTGCTGCTTCCTCCTCAGATTCTAATATGCAGTGAGGAGCAAACCAGCCAAGGACATTTATTGCATCAGTGGAAGTAGTAATATATGCCCGAGTTAATGCCTAAGGCAAAAGGGTGCTGAATAGTAGAGAGATGCTTGATTTTTCTCCTCCTGCATAGGGAGAGCCCAAATTGCTGCAGCGTAAGTTACTAACTTTTCTACATCCGTTGTGTATAAGATCTTTTGAATGTGGTGGTTCAAACCCCACTTGTATCCATAAAATTGTCTTAGTTGTTTGGCGATGGCCAGGGTACGCTTTTTAATAGAGAGAGAACATGAGGAATCCACGTAAGTTTTTCATCAAAGGTAACACCAAGATATTTTAATTCTTTTACAATTTTGAACCTCTGACCATTGAGTACAATACGCGGTCTCCTTGCCAAAGAGCCTCCCTTCTTAGGCACCAGTAAAATTTGACACTTATTTTCTGCTATCACTAATTTCAGTTCGTCACAATTTCGCTAGAAAATTTGACAGGCCTCATTGCAGTTCTTTTGCAATTCTTCACGAGAATGTCCCTTGACAACCAAGGCCGCGTCATCGGCATAGGCAAAAATGTTCGTATGCGCAGGCCAGGAAGCATTGAGTAGCTTATTGAAGGTTAAATTCCAGAGTTGAGGACCTGCGCAGGAACCCTGCGGGCATCCTCTCATCTGTGACTTTTCAATAATTCCTGCTGAATGTATAATCATTATTCTTCGATCCTGTAGATAATGATTTATAGTATTAAAGATATTGCTTGGGCGGCCAGAACTTCTTAGAGCCTGCAAGATCGCTGGCCACCATAAGTTGTCAAATGCACTCTTCAGGTCTAAGCTGATGAGTGCTGTATGGAGACCGTGATATTTGTTGTCCATGATAGCCTCT